AATTCTAAACATGCATCCATATCCATATCCATATCCATACCGATACAGCATCCTGCCTTAGCCTGGCTTACAACACATGCCACTTTATTCCGGCGGCGCATTAGCATTGTACATGCCAGCATCATCTTGATCCATCCGGTCTTTTTCTCTGAGTTAGCTGCGCTTCTCAATTCGGTGCTCCTGGCCCGAGTCTTTGCACCAGCTTTGTCTTTTGCTGGAATTCCGGATTTGGTTCACACCACTCGAGCACGATGGCGCAACACCATCTTATAATTCACATGATGTTGCTGACACGCACCTCATCAACTATGTACCCGAGTCTGTTCATAGGTAGGTAGCTACCTACCTCACCTAGAACCCTTTTGAAGGGCTGATTCCTCACGTCACACACACATACGGGAATGGCAGCGAGACATCAGGTGCTTTCTTCAGCTCCAGCTGTTACATACCCATATGCACGTACCTGCAACCTGCATCATCATCAACCCGTACAATGCCAAGACTGCTATCAAAGGGTCCTCAGATCATACATAAAGAACGAACAGGCCCCCTCCACGGCAAAAATCAGGCCTGACTCCTGTTCAATAAACCCGGCCGGGTATGTTATTCCTCATGTAGAGAAGAGGAGACTTATCTGCCCCGTCGAAGAAACATCAACAGCGGGTCTGCATTAGTAGCACATCCTAGCCTTCCAAGAACGATCTAGAGTAGAATTTTTCTTTCTTTTTCCTTGATGAAGAATGACAGGCAGCGGATTCAAGGTCCCTCCCGCGGTTTCACGGCATTCCCGCCCCATCTATTCCCACCGCTGACGACAACTCATGCCGGCACTCAGAAGAGGCAATCCCAACTAGCTGCCAAGGGATTTGCAAGAATGAGGGTAAAAAAGGCTCGAGTTTTACTGAGACACCGAGACTACTTAAGAGATTGCTTTAAAGTTTCATGGCTGAACATCCTGACTTCTTCGCAGACTTCCTTGGTTTCAATCTTTCTGTAAATTCACTACGCTGCTTGCGGCCCACCCTGGGACTTCGCTATGTTTAGAAAACAACAAGAGAAAAAAAATACAAGGCGGCAATTTCTTTATAACATCCTTTAATGCCGGAATAACGTCATTCTAGACCATGATAGCACATGGAGCCCTGAGAGCATCTGGGCGCCCCTATACCGCAGTAGCTGGTGTAAGCTTGTCCATGTTAGCCCCTCCCTCGAACCACTCCTCCGAAATCAGCTTCTCGCGGGCAGAGTACAAGTGTTTGTACGCAGTCTTGACTGTGCCATCGCTGACACCCGCCTGCTTGGCTATAGGTAGTGAGCTGCGCGGTTCTCCAACGATCTGGCACGCCATGTAGATGCATGCTGCGGCAACGGATAGAGGCGATCGTCCTGCGAGTGCCGAAATACTGTTGGCCCGCAATGCCAATAAGCGAGAGATCTTGGAGATCTTGGTCTGTTTCGTGAAGCCAAGCTGAGAGACATAACGGCTGCATAAATCCTCGGCACCCACTGATGTGTTCTCGTAGTTGGTGACTGTGTTAAGACCTGTGGCTTCACCGTCTTGGTCCTGTAGCTTCTGCAGAAAGCTCTGAAGTTGCTTGAAAACTCGACCGACTTCCTTCTTGCTCACGCTAGTCAGGTTGAAGATTTCACGGAAGGTTCGAGGCACGTTGTTCTGCCGGCACGCGATGAAGATGCAACCTGCAATGACGGCATCCTGGGGCTTTCCTTTGAGGAACTTGTGCTTATCCACGAGCTTGAAGATGTGCTTTGCAGCGTTGGAAACGTTCGTGCCCATGTTGATAGCTTCGCAGTAGGAAACGATCTCCTTGTAAGCTTGCATGAGGCCCTTCTGCGACTTGTCTTGGTTCGTGTTGTTTTGGGTCCTGGACAGAGCCTTGTGTGCCTTGGTTTCGGAAAAGGCTACCGTCGTCGCGAGTTGCTGGCCTTCGACAAACTCATCCTGCGGTCCACCAACACGGCTGGGGTCGTCGCCTCCTTGGTCGTCATTTGCAAAAGTTCGCCATTCTGATCTCGTATCAATGATTCGCGAGCCGACTACCATGCCACAGTCTTCGCATACTGTATCACCGCTGGAGAACTCCTCGACTAGGTGGGGCGGGCTGATGTTGCACTCAGGACATACTAGGATGTTACTGAGGTCTTCCTCAAAAGCAGGCGCATCGCTGCCGTTTGGGGCCATCATCCGAGGCGGCACGTTCTGCCGTTTAGGTTGAGGAGGATGTTTCGTCAGAAAATGAGATGCGGCGAAGTTAGGTGAGGAAGGGCGCTTTGTCCAATGGATTGTATGATAAGAATGACTAAGCGAGCTCTGACTGTGATGGGCGTTTAGGCTCCAGACCGTCTGGGCAGGCAGCCTGATTAAATACCCTTACCTGACACAGCTTCTGGAAGAATCATAAAGGGAAATATCTAGGACAGTTGTTCAGGCTGTGTTTGCAAGATCAGCATTCACTGCCAGAGTTCATAAAAGCACACTGATAAACAGGTGGCAGATGCCCAGAACTATACATGGGCACGTGATCTCTTTGTTGTTGCTGACAGATTCTGCAGAAGCTTGGGGAAAGTTTACAAATTACCAACAAAGAAACCTTGAACAAATAAACCTTTGGCAAGTCTGCTTATTTTGTTCTTCTAGGTTTGACTTGATTACCTACTCCGTAATCCTTCTTCGTCCACCTATGTACCTACACTGAGGTATCTTGCCCCAATACTAGGTAGTAGTATCCGTAACTCGCGACAATTCAGAAGTTCTAGGCGCCGAGTCCGAGCTGTCGATGCCTTTTTATGAGTCTGGCCGACCCAAATATGGTAGTTACCGCAGATTCTGAGTTCCGGATATGTATTTCCGTTTTCCAGGTTTAATATTCCCTATCTTTCTCACCACGAATCTCTCCGTAGTCCCAACTGACCGTACCTACATAGTAGGACCTAGTCATATTGGTATTGTTCCAGCCACAGCGGGTCTGTTCCTTGCCAGGACCTCAAGAACACTAAACTCTTATTTCCATTGAAGCTGTCCCTTCGACGTCATTTCCTCAAGCTTTTTTTTTCACATGGCATTTCAGATAGTTCATCTTGTAGAATGGCCGAGACTAGTCATTGATAATACCAGCACAAGCCTTGGTTTGTATTTTGGCACTTCAACATAAGAATTCATTTCTGTATGTTAGAACTCATGACGTTGCATGATCAGGCCCATCATGAAATGTCTCTTTATTTTGTCCTCCTCCTTCAACGATGCGCTAGAGTTTCCATTGTCCGAGGTCGGCCAATCACCAAGTGCCGAAGGGCCACTCCGCAGTACGTACTTTCGACTCATTCACAAGTTGAGTCAATAGAACAAACATCTCAATATTGAACAAAGAAGAGCGATACCCCGTTCAACTTACCAACTGTACTTGGCCGACTCTCTCCATCATTACTCTCTATACAAGCCTCCCGGTCGTTCCAGCAAAGTACCAAGATGGCATCTCAATCCCAAGATGGTGGGCAAAATGCCCTCTCGCCTGTCGATATCAAGCCTCTTCTCACCAAGCTCTGGCCTAACGGGTCTGCTGTCTCTCCTCAGGAAATTGCCGAGGCCATCTCTCACTTTTTCACAAATCAGGTCACTGAGGCTCAAACAGCTTCTCTTCTCATGGCATTGCATTTCACAAAGCTTGATTTCAGAGCTGATGTCTTGGCTGAGTGCGCCCGTGTCATGCGAAAGGCCGCTGCCTCTATTCCTGTAGAGGAGCTGAAGGTGGTTATCGAACGAAGAGGGCGAAAGGAGGGAGATTACAACGGTGGATTGGTAAGGAAGCGGACCAAATCTGCTGGATCAATGAGCAGCTGTTAACATGATCTCAGTGTGACATTGTTGGAACTGGAGGCGATGGCCATGATACCTTCAACATAAGCACCACCTCATCCATCCTGGCATCAGCCTTGCTCATGGTTTCCAAGCACGGCAACAAAGCCAGCACCTCCAAGTCTGGCAGTGCTGACTTGGTCGCCTGTATGAAGCCGCAACCTCCCATCATCAGCGCCGTCCGCCCTGACACTTTGGTCAAGGCTTACTCTGAGACTAACTACACTTTTCTGTTTGCCCCTGTCTTCCACACTGGCATGCGCTACGTCGCGCCCATCCGCAAGCAACTGCCTTGGAGGACGGTTTTCAACAATCTCGGCCCCTTGGCCAACCCTGTCGAAGATGTGCTTGAAGCCCGTGTCATTGGTGTCGGCCGAAGGGATCTTGGTCCGGCATTCGCTGAGGCTCTGTGCATGGCTGGTTTCAAGAAGGCTCTCATCATCTGCGGCGAGGAAGAGCTTGACGAAGTCAGCTGTGCTGGCAACACTCTATGCTGGAGGGTCAACGAGACCAGTGCTGGAAGGCTCGAGGTTGAGCATTTCACCGTGCACCCGAGCGATTTTGGTCTGAGCACCCATCCCCTGGATACAGTGTCTTCGGGCAAAGAACCCTCCGAGAATGCAGAGATCTTGTCTCGAATTCTGCACAATGAGTTGCCTGACGATGACCCGATTCTTGAATTCGTTCTACTCAACACTGCGGCTTTGCTCGTCACATCAGGTATCTGCGAGTCCGATACCAGCAACATGGGCGAGGGGGATGACGGCAAGGTCATCACCGAGCGCGGCCCTGGTGGGCAGCGCTGGAAAGAGGGCATCCGAAGAGCTCGCTGGGCCCTCAAGAGCGGCGAGGCCTGGAGACAGTGGGAAAAGTTTGTCAAGGTCACAAATGAAATCGGCGCTTAAGAGATAAGAATACGTTATTACGATTGAAAATGTTATCATATACAAGGCTTCATTCTCATAGACCCTTTGACACGTCAAAGGCCGTTCTCGTCGTCTCGACGCCGCTGCTCCCATGGTATAAATAATTCCAGTCTTTGTCTATCGTTATGTAGAGATATGTCGATATATGTCGTGATTGTGGGTTTTGCTTCATGGTCCATACTTCATGCTTCAAGCCTGGCGTATTAAAATGCTCTCCCTATATCTGGCGAGGCTGGGCTCGTTGTTGAAGTTGATGTCGTTGGTGAAAGCGGAGAGTAGGGGCTAGTTGAGCTTGATGAGAAAGATTGTGGTTGAGGTCGGGATGAGGAGGATCCTGCGTGAGTTTGTATTCTCGAGCGATCGACTCCCGGGTGTTTTCTCATCAGCGTTGATTTGTTTCGCTGAATATCAGCTTCGTATGCTTTCCAATCTGTCCTGAGACTTGTGTTTCTATCCTCCTCTTCAGTGTCGTTTTCATCTTCCTGTCGCACGGTTGCTCGTGAAGAGGCGCGACTTTGTAAGGACTTGCGAATTATGTTGGATCGCTGAAAATCTTCCTTTTCGTTCTTATCTAGCCCTGACTTTGTGCGCTTCTTCTTGCCAAGAGAGAAAGAAGGAGATCGTTCTTCACGTTGGCATTGGCGCGGTTTGACCCACGAGTATAGATAACTTAGGAGAGGCATGATGACAGGAGAGGAAAACAAAAGAAATAGAACGAATGAAAGGGCGAGCAAGAAATCGATAACCTGTCAGGCTCCTACTTTGATATCTTGACCGCAGACATCGGTAATTGTAATAAGATTTCAAGCCTTCCGCGAATGGGCGGGGATATCCTGGGGAGCCACGGGCTATGTATGTATGAATGGATGATCCTGGGAACGGGTAAACGGTTACGTGCCGTGCAAGGCCACGTAACTACGGGGACGTTTATGATATGTTAGTTTAGTACGTATGGTAGAACCTCTCTTATCCGTAGGCCAAAGATTAGCTGATCTTTGCCTTGGCTGGACTGATCTGTCTGGTGTGGTCAAGGGCGCACAGCGGCTCGCACACTTGAGGCGCGGTTCTATAAATGGGAGCGAGCCGGGGTCGAGAGATTGATATATGTATGTTTCTTTCTGGGCCCAAGACAGGGTCTGTTCACGAGCAAAGACGCTTCATTCTGGTTGCTGGGATTGGTAGAATGGTTAGTCCAGGTCACGGCATGTTTCAGGTCTATCTTTGGAGTAGATCTCTTCCGAAGTTCGCTTCTAGACTTCCATCGATGCATCAAATCGCGACAGAAAATTAGAAGCATGAGATGGTAAGCAGGGATTCCAATCCCATGGCTATTTCAGAATGCAAAACTCAGCAGCCAAGACCAAACCACAAGCCCAGCTATCCGGAATGGGAGCAACCCCCAAGCACCAATACGAGCCGGTGGTGGCTATGTTGAGCCTATAATCAGACGAGATATTGACATGGACAAGACTTTGAACGGGATACAGCTAGCGATTGGAGTCTTCGGGGAGACACAACATGAGAGAGTCTATTACATAATGATGGTACAACAGAATATTTACAAGCCTAACTGATAATAATGCTATCGTGAGTTCAAGTTGAGAAAGAAGCTTCTGGGGAGGGTTCACTTTTCCGTGAAAGGTGAGTGTGGCTGAAGCATCTTCGGTTTGCTACTAAACAAGTTATTGATCGGCAATGCTGCGCCCGAATGAGACGTATCACACTGTCGCAATCTCACAGACTCAGTCCTCTGGAAATGACTGCGGTCACTACTCCGTAAGGACTGGTCATTTTCTAACAGCTAATATCGTGACTTTAAGCCTCTTGGGTACCGACCAAATCCAAGCATCCAATACTAATATTTGAATCAAGGCCCAGGATAAGGTAGTTAGTACCATTGGCTGCCTGAATATAGCATTCTCAACCAACCATATAAAAGGCCTTTATAGCTTCTCCATTGGCGATTAGCTCACCATTGCATAGACGGCGAAACTACAAGGTTGCCGATGATGCGAATGCTTCTTCTCAGCCATCAATGAAACCGTTTACATCGCGATCAACTACCCCATGGAATTCATCGCTAGGTAATCGTCGGAGCCGAGAAGCTCCAGCGACGGCAAAATGTCACTCGGCACCGAACTCATAGTGATTGGCGCTCTTCCCCAAAAGCCGAGGTGCAATCCCCGCATGGAGCTCCTTGTTCAAGCTCAATTAGACTACCTATCATCTACAAGCTCAACGCACAACTCCGAACTCCCGTAGCTACCCTTCCGGTTCCGATGACTGGTGTCAATATCTCAAGCATCAATCTATATACATATCTACACACCGTTGCACAAGATTTCAGGTCTCGCAACGGAGTTTCTCAATTTGGTTCATATTTAGCACTGCCAAGCTGACAGTTCGCTGAGGATGAGCTTATTCCTTGCTGCTCGATCCTTGGGGTCTAAGCCCATCAATGGCTGTGCTCATGGAGTGCGCCGGTACTCAAGTGCCGTGAAAACCGGACTCCCACTTGAGGGCATTCGGGTGCTGGACATGACCCGGGTTTTGGCCGGTGTAAGTCTGGTTTTTGCATGAACATGGTTGACAAGTGCTGACCTTCATAGCCTTATTGTACTCAGATTTTGGGCGATCTTGGGTAAGTTTACTCAAGTCATCAATGACCCTGGCCGTTTTAACATGGCCGAATGCGCAGCGCTGAGGTGATCAAGATCGAGCATCCTGTTCGCGGTGATGACACTAGAGCTTGGGGACCTCCATATGCCAAATACAAGGATGGGTCGTCTGCCAAAGGCCCTGGAGAGTCTGCCTACTTCTTAGGGGTAGGTATGTGCCTTCTCTGTACCGAACTTGTCTCATGATGTCCTGCAGGCAAATCGGAACAAAAAGTCGTTGGGCTTGTCCTTCCAGCACAAAGAAGGAGTCGATGTTCTTCATAAACTAGCTGCAAAGTGCGACGTCTTGGTCGAGAACTACCTCCCCGGGACTCTAAAGAAGTATTCCATGGATTATGAGACCTTGCGTAAGATCAACCCAGGTCTGATATACGCCTCTATTACGGGCTACGGCCAAACAGGGCCGTATTCCAACCGCGCTGGCTACGACGTCATGGTTGAAGCTGAATTTGGTCTGATGCATATTACTGGAGAGCGAGATGGCCCTCCAGTCAAGGTTGGTGTCGCGGTAACTGACCTGACGACTGGTCTCTACACCAGCAACAGCGTCATGGCTGCGCTTTTGGGACGGGCCAAGTCAGGAAAAGGTCAACATATCGATGTCGCACTGAGCGACTGCCAAACAGCGACATTAGCCAACATCGCCAGCAGTTGTTTGGTGAGTGGAAAGAAGGACTCTGGCCGCTGGGGCACAGCTCATCGTAAGTTTGACTGTCTGAATAAGAATTCCAAGGCTAACTCAGAAGCTTCCATTGTTCCATACAAGTCTTTCGAGACCAAAGATGGAGGTATTCTGTTTGGTGGAGGCAATGATCGGCTGTTTGGTGTTCTCTGTGATGGTTTAGGTCAACCACAGTGGAAGGACGATGCTCGATACAAAACCAACGCTGATAGAGTCCAGCATCGGAACGATCTAGAGGCCAAGATTGAGGCAATCACAAAACTCAAGACAACCCAAGAATGGCTTGAGATCTTCGAGGGCAAGGGTTTGCCCTACGCTGCCATCAATGATGTCCAGGGGACGCTCAACCACGAGCATACAAAGGCCCGGAACATGGTTGTCGAGATGGAACACGATGAGTGCGGCCCTCTAAAGATGGTCAACACGCCTATAAAGTTGTCGGAGACCCCTCCAACGATTCGCAGCGCGCCGCCTATGTTGGGCCAGCATACTAATGAAGTGCTACGAGAGCATCTTGGGTTGAATGAAACTTATATTACTGCATTGAGGGAAAAGGGAATTGTCGGATAGAATACGTAGAGAATAGAACATGAAGCGCGACAAAAAAAAAACATTTGAGTACCTCGACTTCTGCTTAAGGCTCCTGCTGCTTTAGTGGTTGTGAACAACGGCAGGAACTAACGGAACTGAACACCCTTGCACGATCAAAGTACTCCACGTGACCACACGTGTTCACTGATTGAACTGAACATCTCACTTTGCCATGTAAATCCATTGTTTCCAATCTCAACAATAGTTGACCTTGCAGTCCCCTTCTTCTCAAATAATAATTAGTCCACATACCGATCAGCCTTGGGACGGGCCGGTCCCCTCATTTTGCAAGTCTTGCTTACAGTTTTGGACGTCGAATATTTCGCGACAGCTACGGACTTTGACAGCAGCCTACAAATGATCACTAACAAACCATCTTACGAGGACGAGAACATACATCATGGATCAAGGCACAGAGCAATTACGCGTCGAATCCCCGAAAACCACTGAACTAGATGTCACGATGGAGGATAAGTCTACCAAAGATGTCACTTCAACTGTACCGATACCAAAACTCTCATATACACTCCAGTTCCCATCCGAGAGCTCAGTCATCTTGAGCCGTCTCAAGAATGATTCCCAAACAGAGGACAACGGGAATGTTAGAGAGAAAATTTTCGCAGACTTGAAAGACACTTTGACTATGCCAACACCTACTAAATCCAAAGGTCAATCCTCACTATCATACTCTCTCAATGCAGGCGTGAAACGAAAACGAGAAGAGCCGTCGGAAAAGATTGATCTGACTCAAAGCACTGTCCCCTTCCCGTGGAAGGTTCACTCTCAAACTCAACAAGCTACTATCGAGGCTCAGCATACCAGAGAGGAGACCCGATGTTCAATGTGTAACGGTTCTGCTCAAGTTTCCCCCTTAGTCACATGCATTAGATGCCATGTATCTTGGCACCAAAGATGCCATCCTCCTTTGATAAGGGGCGAGGACATGACTTCTGCAAGCTTCACCTGTGCGGAGTGCGTTGCGGGCAGGAAGCAGACCGTCAGACTCAGGGGCAGAGTCAGTCAGCAGCGGCAGCACGAAATCGAGAGGCTTCGACAGAAACGCCTGTTTTCTCTCCCCAAGGGTGTTGTCCCTGCCAAATCTCACCTCGTGGGGTTTGGTCCTGGCCGGGCTTCGGATGTCTCAGTAAGTTCTACGACGCTGGAGAAGGATACCATGGCTCACACGACGATAGCGAGCACAATACTTTGAATCAATGCCGAAGACGGACCTTCTTAACATTCTATCATTGTGCGATCAACTGAAACCAAACCTTCTTGTTGACGTACTCGTATCTATCTCAAAACGACATCCTGAAATGCCCATATTCGCTTCGCCAGACTGGGATAGTCAATTGTCAAACACTTCTCGCCCTCCTAAAACAAAGCATGACGAGAAGCCTCGACATGGCCATGTTCTTGTCAACAGAGCAGCAAAGCCGAAGCAAAAGACTACGAAAAAGATACTCAAACGCACTCGGGTCATAGAAGTCATCACAAGTGCTCCAGAGGAAGATAATGTCAATATTCTGCCGCCAACTTGGGCAAAGGCTGGTCAGGGGTTATACTCACATTTACTGCCTGACACAGAAGACAGGTCGCTTCTCATGGATGAGAACGACGAAGAATCGTTCAGTCACTTTTTTGTCGATGGAGCTGGGCGTCAGATCATGGAACCTGTGGGCGCTTAATGGGGAAACGAGCAGGCATTTGTGTCTTTTTGGTGGTCTTCTTTCAGCTAATTCGGGAAAAAATTCGGAGTCAGTCTAGGCATAGGAGTTGTTCAAGGGAAATCTCGGCTTCAGGCCAATCAGCCACTATAGAAGCTCATTCGTTAACTAATGGTCATCACCAAACAGAACCTTGAGACCGAGAAAACATGATTCGATTCTGGGCTTTAGCGTTATCATATGAATTATTTGATTTGTGATAAGAAACAGAAGACATCGACAGACGAGTGGGATTATCCGGTAATCCCCATCAAAGAAACACATTCCAGTTCCAAGTCATCCTCCATCCATTACATATTAGACCGTGAGTACCCAACTATTCGTCCATAATCATTTTTAATCGCTTAGCAGTTGCAACCGAAGATACCCTTGAGGCTGACGTGGATGCTAGCAACGATGCGGATGAGGCCCTGGATCTTGACAGAAGCACAAGCTCCGACCTTGTTGACGAAGAGAACGGTGTCCTTGACAATGCAGAAACCAACGAGGCCGTTGACATAGCCACCGATGCTGCCACGGACATCGACGTAGTTCTTGCAGCCCTTGGAGCAGTAAGAGACGCAGTCATAGACCTGGCAGTTGCCGAGACCCAGGAAGCAGGTAATGCTCTTGACAAAGTCAACAACGGCGTAGACGAGACCGCCAGTGACGCTGCCGGGGCGAACGGCATATCCGTACTTGTTGGTGTTGAAGAGGGCGACGGCATCAGCGCTGCTCTCGAGGTAGAGACCGGCAAGACCACCACAGACGGTCTTGAGGCTGGCGCTCAGCTGGCCCTTGACGTTGATGGCGGCACCGCCATAGAGAGCAACCTCGGCGCCGATGGAAAGAGGAGCAAGGAAGACAGTGTTCTTGAGGCTTGCCTGGCAGTAGGCGTGCTTAGTATCGTACTTGACGATCTTGTAGGGAGAAGCAGCACAGTACGTGCCGAGCTTGACGTCAACACCGGCGCTGGCGTAGACACTGGCACTGGGCTTGGGCCAGCAGCCAGAAGCCTTCTTGCCAGCGCACTTCTTGGCCTTGCCATCCCAGGACTGGCCGGGAGGGCATGAGCAGGCCTTGGTCCAGGGACAGTAGGACATGGCGCCGGGGCAGGAGAAGGTGGTGCGAGCCTCAAGGTTGCTGGAATCGGAGCGGATGGTGAAGTCGCTAGGGGAGATGTTGGAGGTGGTATCGAGGAGGGCATCTGGAGCAGGGATGGCGGAAGCCATAGTGGCCATCGAGGCCAGAGTGACGAGGAAGTTGGAGAAGTACATTTTGATGATGTAGTAGGAGATTTGGTAGTAAGATAGAGAGTGGTTATTTGTTTGAAATAGATGGAAGAAGTGAACGAATGTTAAATAGGCCTTTGAGGCTTTGTTGAAGCGAATGTAAGTTGATAGAAGAGAGAGAGATGCTGATGAGAAAGAGTTGATTGTACGGGATATCAAGAGTGTTTATATAGCCATCATGAGTTGTCTCTGTGAGGCCGAGGATCTTTTTATCACATGGTCACTGCGAAGTCTTCAAAGACGGCTCAGTCCTCAGTGTTACATTACAGACTCCGTATCTCCCTGCTAGTCAGGCGATGCCGGTGATAGTGTCAAGAGGTCCAAGCACAAGCTGAGTCTGGATGTTTTTCGGCCAAGGTCAAGCTGATAGATGGAGATGCTTGCGAGGTGCTAACCAGGAGTAGGCTGGTGTGAGTTCACGGACTGAGCTTGGTTGGCTTGATATTCGATGTGCATGGTGTTGAAAAGTTATGCAGACACTTGGATACAGGCAGTTGGTCGAGTCTGAATTGTTCTCGAGACGAGGTGGCTATTGTAAAGTTTGAGTGATATTGTGTTAAGAAGAGCTTCTGCCGTCTTTACTCGATGTCTCTCATATCCGTCATTGGGACAGTTCTCATTGAAGTCCATTAAGCAAGATATTGCAGCATTACAGCAACACAGCCAAGTTTCAACTCAACTTCAATCCTTCACTCGATAAGCATAACTTGGTCCTCCATTGATTATTCCCGTTGAAACAACGATCAAGGCCGTTGGACGTTCTGCCCACAAGTCAAGTAAAGCCCGATCGGAAGTCGGCTTATTAAATTAGATTCCACCAAAAAGGAGGTTTACCTGCAAGTAAAATGTTTCATTTCTCGGGCCGCACTGGTCCATCCAACAAATCAGCTCACCACTTACCCAAAGAGGCAACGCCATCACGACGAGGCGTTTCTTTAATTAAACCAAACAGGATGTTTCAGGCCTGGGAAAGCTGCACTGCACAGCTCAGCTGATTTTCTTGTCCCGAAGAGAGATATCAAGGAGTGTCCTTGGAGAAAACTGCAAGAGTGAGTTGTTTATGTGTCTCTATTTTTAAGATGTGTGGGGATGTGGTTGGTTTATGTGATACAATCATATCGGAGGTTAATGGACGAGGGGGGAGGGTTCTGGGGTTGTGGAGTTGAAACAATTGCTGGGATGCTTTTGGCCTTCGGCAGATCGACAATGTTTTGTTCCTTGTTGACGTTTTTCTTCCCTGTCGTGATCTGTCAAGCCGAGGTCTGTTCGGGTGCATCCGATATAGTGCTATATAGCAGACTCAGTGCTATCATAGCAGCAGCTTAATAATGTAACATGATGACGTTGATGCTCTACATCACGCCCAACTGTGCCCTGAGAACTCTTCCTGATCAAACTCAACCCACTGGGCAATTCTTTGAGGCGCACCGTTCAGCTGCACCAGCCAAACCGCACGCATAGTCTTGGTAGTGGATCGTCAAAGAATAGCTACCGGTCTAGATGCAGCCTTTGCCTCACAGAAAAATATTCACCTGCAGCTCCGAGGTTTCAGGCTCTGGTAGCCCAACAGCTAAATAGCGGCTCACGCACGGTTCGTTGTTGGTGGCAGCGGTGATGGCTTTTGGCTATCGTTTCTGACTTAGGAGCTGGGTTCGTTTTAGCACATATCCACATGGACCATCCTTGTTGACAATCATGTTCTGCATTGTTTTTTGTTTCTATACGTCAATGCTTTAAGGTTTCTTCAGCACATACCGTCAGCCGAGAGGTCAAGGTTGTTGACCTGACGGATTTGTGAGGCCATGCTCCTGTATTTCCGTTGTTGGCTGTGCTGATGGCTTTGAGTCTAAGGCATGACTCTTGAATGGGTCTTGTGAGCTATTGGCATCCACCATAATTCCAATTACACATTATTTGCGCCTATTTCCACCCGTGGCACTATTTCTCGGCAATTCCGTTCAAGCAAAGTAACATAGAAGGAGGAGAAAACTTCACCGTCGATTCTCAAGTGACGGCTTCAATGTCATATTACTACTGTACAGAGAACTCAACAAAATAGACGCAACTCACATCAGGAATCAAGCTACAGAACTGTAGCAGGTAAAAATACGACGATTACTATTGTTGGTCATCCAGGAAAACAAAGCAATGTATTCTTACCAACGTCAGTTCGTTCAACTCCGAGACGCTTACCCTACGCTCGACCACCCAGTACTTGGTTGTACATGAAAGAGCATAAAGTCTACCATCTGCCCGCGTAAAAGTTTTGCACAGTATCATGATATCACATCGATGCTGAAATACCCTACTTTCTTCCGATATCATGTATTCATACTTGATACAACAGAGATAGGTTTAATATGGTTAAATCAGGAAATTTTATTGTCAAGTTGTGGTCTTTGCCACGTATATAGTCTCCTACTTGCTCTCCTTGCCTGCCTTGTAACATCAATCACAGGCAACATTACCTCCGCGTTTATACACCGGTCTATATTCCAGCTTGTGTGGAGACTTTGGGTGCAATAACTCGGATATGTGGTTCAGCACATATCCCCCAGCTTATTCTTTCATTCTCTCCCCCCAGACAACAAGGAAAGTCATAATTCATGAGACCGAAACACAGGTCCAGCCTCGCTTTTCCAAGGCTGTCTGCCGCGAGTTAAACCACCAGGGTCCGCTTCGTCCCCTTCTGTGTCCCCTGCTTGATAGCCATCGACGTCGAAGCATCTGCCGGTGTCCCCAGGAGCACATACGGGCCCAGCACTCGATAGTTCGTTGAGACAGAACGACATGAACAAGATCCCATCCCCTACAACCAATTAGTCCATAGCACACATCGTTTGCTGGAGGGCACTTACAAGATAGCAGAGACGAGACCCAGTACAGGTGCGCCAGCTTGTGAAAGAGGCAGGCCCCAGTACGAGTAGTCTGACGGGAACACCCCTTCCACTGCGAGGGAGGATACTAGGCTGCCGAGGAGCACTGACGCTGTGAGTGTCCGGAGCAGGACTGCGGGGCCGGTCCAGGGTCTGTCGTGGTGCACGATAGACCACATGCCAAGGCCTACATCACAGGTGAGAGCCGCGATGAGAACAAACGCCCTGATGCTACAAATACTAGTCAGTCCTTGGCTCTTACATAGTATCCAGGGATGTGGCGCATACCCATGGCTGGAAACTGCAGCTCCAGAATACGAAATAAGAAAGATGGCCAGCATCAAAATGACAAGCAGGCATGAAACAATCTGCATAAAATCCACCGCGACCCTAACGGCTCTGATACCAGCGCCTGTCGGCTCCTCGACTTCTTCAGGTAGGGGCGTGAGTAGAGGTGTAAGCTCCCTTGCAATTGGTGTAGTTGATAGCCGTGGTAGAGATCTCGGCCTCGTGACGATGCTGAGGTTCAGAGGCGGTGGTCGACTACCCTTACGCATGTCGTCGGTTTCTTCGGTGAGGAAGGATGCGAGAATGCTGATGCCAGTTGCTGATGTGAATGTTGAGTAGGAATCCCGGTCCCTTACGTCGATGAACTTGTTAAGCATGAAGAAGCACAATGAGGTCAATGGGGTATATAATGAATGAATGAGATGGCGATTTAATTTAATCGGAGGCCTCGATGGTGTTGTATCTGTAGTGAGAGAAGGAGAAATAAGAGATAAAAAAAAAAGAACGAATACTAAAACAGTCGAAAACGAAAGAATAAAATGAACTGATCAAGAATAACGAAAGACCGAAAGCAATGAGGAACAACCGAAATAATAAAAGAAGAAGAAAAAGGACGAATTCAATCGATGCTTTCTTGTCTTGTCTCGATCTCTCCCTTTGGCGCGCGCCAGTTCCCATCCATTCCATCCACAGCCCAGCCGGCGCAAGGGGGTTCTTTTCCTCCTCGTATCGTATCAATCTTCCGCCTAAAGGCCTAAACGCGGGCCTAAGATGCGTTCCTCTGCAGGGGCACGTCGCACCACAACCACTGTTTTCTGCGGCGGTTGGACGGTGGCCAACTGAAAACAGTGGAACGCCCTTCTAATTTTGGTGCGTCCCGCCGGCTCTCTCGGTATCGAACGATGGCATTTCTTCTTGGCGAGACGTGATTGGGTTCCGCGCTTGTTTCACGTCGATTGATATCGATTCTTTTGGCGATTGGAGATATGGGTTTTTACTGCTTTGGGCTGCCTCCCTGCTTAGATGCTACCACATGCTACAGCCGATACAGCCTCTGACCTTCGCTACGCCGCAGGGGTCAAGCGTTATCGCCATCTTGCATCATTCTGCAAGGATCACCGTGTTCATGCCATGACTTATCTATCTATCCATCACCCTCTGCTTTGATCTAATTCCGATTACCTCAGCTCAGACTTGCCTTTACGACTTCAATGACATGATCCATGCGTTAAACACGCCGAAAAGAGGGTTAGCAGTCGATAAACTGCAAACACGCAACTTCCAGTCAGTGTTTTTTTGGCCCATGGTTGCATATGTCTCAGAAGTATCTGAAGAATCATCACTGCCGAGTTGTTCCCGTCGTGTCCAAGTCACTCGACTCAAATCTCATGCTGAAAGCACTGCCGTCCCTTTGACCTTTCCACTCTCCATCTTGGCAGTTCTAGCCCCAAATTGTATCTATTATGCCTCATTAGTAAAGAGTTGTTAGTACCAGATTGCCACTTACTGCTCGCTTCTTCTCCTTTGAAACGGAGCTCATGCCAAGTGATTGAGCCACCAGCCGCAACACTCGTTTCTCGGCGTCGAGCCTCCCTTCGCCACCAGGCGTTTCGAAATCACACTTCTCCCACACAGGAGCCTCGATTGCCCACTTGACAAAACGCTCATCCAGATAGGGAAATCTCACTTCTCGACCCCAGTGTGCCATAACACGGTCATCTCGACCAAGATTTCTCTTTCCAAGCCGACTGACGTCGAGCTTCAGCTCTTGTACAACTCCACCGTAGCCACGATGCGTGTAAGCCACGCCGTGCCGACCATACCCACCGAACAGCTCATCGGCACCCAGACCGGAAAGCAATACTCGCGCTGTCGTACTATAAGGCTGTGGGTTTGAGTCGCCGGTTGCTTCGCCAAGCCCTTGTCCTCTTGCAGCAAAGTATAGAGCACACGCAATGGACAGGTCCATCTCTGTGTTATGAGGATGGATAAGACGAATGACTTCAGCTCTGTGCTCGAGATTCTCAGCATACGGCACGTTCACCTGCCTCCTGTCAGTCATTCATTCCGACGTGAGTCTGGGTCCACATACCGCCACAAATCGCCATGCTCTGCCAGGACAGACACGGCTGAGCTCTGCAAACGCATTTCTCCCTGTCATTCGATCCGGACACTTCTCATAAAGCTCCTCTCGGGAGAGGTCCTTGAATTGCCCTGCAATTCTGGGGTTCTCAAATGCGACATTGATCAGGTCAATACATTGATCTGCAGGAATCATGTCATGAGACAACCTCGCAAGCACAGTACAGTCAAGGCCACCTGAAAATAGCACTGCGACTCTGGCATCCGTATGTTTGGCTTTTGGAGGTAGTGGCACGTCTAGAACTCGCAGTCGGAGAGATTCGACCAAGCGAGAACGCAGCTCCTGCACAGATCTTGAATCTTGTCCGAGGGCAAAATTCTCCTGTGGGAGATCCTCGTTGAAACGACCGATGCTCGATATCTGAGGACGTAAGTAGCAGGCTTGTCGGGGTCATACTCACGCTGAACTTACCCAAGCAGTATCGGCAGTCCAATCGTGCCGGTCTGGCACTAGTCCTTCAGGCGAGTCGCCCGTGGAGAGATCCAGAGTGTAGCATCCATCGGCCTCGACCTCGGTCCATCCATCGACCGGCGTCTCAGCGATACTTGACAGAACAAACGGAGAGCCATCCCTGACCAGCAACGATCGGCGGCCCAGTCGATCTCGTCCGTAGTAAAGTCGCTTGGCAGGTTTATCCAGGTAAATAAACGCGAAAGGCCCTTCGATGGCGCGTAAGATGCCTAGGACATCTCCCGCACCACGACTTGCCTCGGCCAGGAGGGCAAGGATAGCCTCACCATCGTTACCCTGTACAGACTCCCCTTGAATACCCCAGGCCTCTCCATTCCAGCATAGAATAGACCCAGTCACATGATCCACAAACGGCTGCTTTGCAACGTGATCACCTCGCAGTGATAACACAGTTGATGTGAAAGTCAGGAAAAGATCATCAAGCTGTATCCTGACAGTCCCTGTATGATCTGGTCCTCTATTTACCAAACATCGCTCTGACACGGATGAGAGTGTTTGTTCGGGGCTTGAAGATATGATAGCATGGATTCCGCACATTTTTGCGCGTTGCTGAAAGGACGAAGACGCGGTTGGAAGAATTGGAAGCTTGTTGGTGTAGTTGAAATTGTTTTATTACTGCAAGCGAAATATTGTGATCCACCTTTGTTTACCCTATACCAAAAAATGTGCGCATAAAAGGTAGCAGAGCTGTTGCTCAATTCTTGACAGGGAATTATTTTCAAGAATCGTGATAAATCGCTGCGTTTAAAGTTTGAGCCTGTATTAATAGATATTGTGTGAGTCATATATCATGACCAGTCTTCAGAGTCTATTGCAAAAAGCACCGGAGATTAGCTAGGTACCATAACCAGAAGACAAAACTGACTTTGTCTCCTGGAGGACTGGTATTGGGCACTCCAAAGATGCTCTCAGTTATGGAATGGCACCTTGTGGTCACTCTGTGAGGAAGTTGTATCCTTGACATGGGTGTGTATTTCTATCCTAAACAACAGGAAAGAGAGGCGATCTCTATACCAGCTAAAACCAATTCTTTGCCGAATCGAAATGCACTGTGAAGGGGTGATGTGAGGTGGCGTTTCACTCAAATGCCCAATCTGACTGCTAATAATATCCTCCGAGGACAACCCAAAAACCATTGGTCCTGAGCCCCAACGGCCCATTCCTCCATTCGAATCTCAACCTGAGGCAAATCACAAGCTCAAGGAGTTAACAAACATCTGAAATACATGAAGAAGCCCAATCCCGCGCTGGGTGGCATAAGAAAGTGTCGTGTCTCATCAAACCAAAAAAAGACTGTTTGGCAATTTTGTGGGGGAACATTATACAATTTTGAGTCATGTGTCCCTTTACCCAATACTCGGGAAGTTCCACGGCAGAAGATTGGATCCCTATTCTCCGAGGTTCTGCTGCAAATCAACGTTTGACCAGTCCATCATCTGAAAGATGTCCTGGGAGTTCTGGGAGAAGCCCAGGTTGGCACTGGGAATCTCACCAAACAGCGACTGGTAATCATTGGTCTTGGTCATACCATTGCCATTGTCATTAGGAAAGAGCGGAAAATCCATGCCGTCTCCTGCAAAGGAGTCGTCAAAACCTTCATCAACATCCCGTAATGAATTCGGAGTATAAAGCATGGCTGTCTCCTGACCAGTTGGCGAAAAGTGAGGAGCAACAGTCGGGATGGGGATCTGCTGCTGGGGTTGCTGATACATAGGCAATTGCTGTTGCATCATCTTGAGGTTGGGGTTATACATGACAGGTTGCTCAGGTGTGGGTAGCTGAGCAGGAAGCTGCATGTGGGCAGCATAGAGGTCCTCGTTATCCAGGATGAAGGCCGAACCATTCTGGTATGGGGCATACTGCTCATAGGAACTAGCCGAAGCAGGCGAGGTGGAATCCATGCCCAGATCCAGGTGGAGTGTCTCGGTGGGAATGTTGTTGATTGACATCCAGTCCGAGTCATTGGGGTAGAGAGGGAAGTCGCCAACGAATTGTGTCACGTCGTTCTGAGGAGGAGTGGGCACGCCGTTGTATTCAGTAGAAGAAGGCGTTGACATGTTGCCCAGAGGTGGAGTCTGCTGCTGAACGCTGCCAGCAACTGATGGTAGCTTCTTTCCGTTGGTCTTGGTTCTAACGTAGGTCCAGCCATGAGCTTTCTCCATGTGCTGCTTGCAGTTGGATTCACGTTTTGACTTGTAGGGGCAAGGCTTGAACATGCACTCATACATGGCAGGGGCAGCAGAGTGCTTGTCGTTGTGGTGGCGGTCCATTTCCTTCTCTGTGGGCCATCCATAGGTGTGATACTTGCAAGTCGGGACAGGGCACTTCCAAGGGCGAGAATGAGTCTTTTCGTGCTTGGTAAGATCGCAAGGACGCTTGAACTCCTTATTGCAGCCGGGCTCGCGGCACTTCTTGGGAGCTAGCTCCTCGGGTGAAGCATTCTTCTTGCGGCGAGCCATGGATCGTTGAATCTCCTCCTCGTCCTCGAGCTGCTGGCTCAGGGATCGCTTTACTTGCATTGGCGAGTCGCTGTCAACCTCGACAGGCTTACCAGTGTCCAGAGAGATATATGTGCCGTCCTTGCGGACACGGACGAGCTCGACGGGGCGACCTTCGTGGAGACCACCGATGAGTTTGATCTCGTCAGATCTTCGGCGAGAGTTAGTTGGATAGTCCAAGGGAACAAAGCTGGGTACATACGCGTCGATATCCATATCGTCACCGCTGTTCTTTGCGGCAAGTTGTTTTCCGTATTGTAGAATC